CCACCACCTGTCTCCTGGCCTCCACGTGCTCAGCCTGCGCACAGGACACGGGCTGGACGGCGTCCGAGCTCAGAGCCGGCCCCCCGTCCTGACCAGCAGCAGCAGCACGGTCAGGAGGGGTCAGCACGGGCAGACGACGCAGCGAACCCGAGGATCGCAGCTTCCGGGCGCCGTACCTGGTCCTGGTGGTCGAAGAAGGTGTGAACACAGGTCCTCGTCCCGACGTCCCAGACTTTCACGCTTTTGTCCGATGAGCTTTATGAAAGAGGGAGCGCTGGCGTCAGAAAACACGTTCAGGCTGGTCCGACGGGAGGGATCTGACTGGAGAGCCCGACGCTGGCACCGACCTGACCTGCCCGGCCCGCCTGGCAGGGCTCCCGCCAGGAGCCCCCGGCCCTTAACTAACTGCAGGCGGAGCCCCACGTTCACAGGGAAAACGACGGCTGGGGCTACGAGTTCAGAAGAACCCAGGCCTGCTCCCGCGAAGGCCGGCGAACTTCACCACCCAACGGGGCAACGCCCAGCGAGCAGAGGCCGCCCGAGTGCCAGGCGACTCGCGTACCTGGAGACGAAGTGCGTGTTGTCCGGACAGAAGGCCACGTTCAGCACCCAGGACGCGTGGCCGCTCAGGGTGCCCGCCAGGTTGGCGTGTTGTCTGAAACGAGACGGGTCCGACGCGGAGGCATCAGCTCGGACAGGTCCTGGAGGCACGTGACCAGCTGCCCGCTTACCTGGGCCCCCTGCTCCCCGACGACGGCAGCACGTGCCCGTCACATGCCCCAGGGAGGCACGTCTCCCACGGCAACAAGTGCCCCACGGCCTCGCCCCAGAGTCTGCTGATGCCGCCCAGAGCGGGCACAGGGCGTGACAGGCAGAGCGCAGACGCTCCCTCAGGAGGAGCCACGCTCGGCAGCCGCTCCGAGGCGGAGAGACCGAGGACGGGGCGTGGAGGCCCCCCGGGCTGTGCCTCCCTGCGGGTGCCCTGACCACCCATGTGGCTTGGAGAGAACACACACACACACACACACACAGGCACACGCACACAGACACACACAGAGACACACACACACTGCCCTGGCTGGTGTGGCTCACTGGATAGAGCATCAGCCTGCGGACTGAAGGGTCCCGGGATTGATTCCGGTCCAGGGCACATGCCCGGGTTGCGGGCTTGATCCCGGGTGGGGGGCGTGCAGGAGGCAGCCAATTCTTACATATTAAAAAAGATAAATATATATACACATATATATCTTTATTGATATCAGAGAGGAAGGGAGAGGGAGAGAGAGAGAAACGTCCATGATGAGAGAGAATCATGGATTGGCCGCCTCCTGCACGCCCCCCACTGGGGATGGAGCCCACATCCCGGGCCTGTGCCCTGACCGGGAATCAAACGCTGACCTCCTGGTTCCTAGGTCGACGCTCACCCCTGAGCCATGCGGCCGGGATGGAGGGACCATCTCTAACCTGGCCTCAGACAGGCAAGTTTAATCGCTGCAGCCGCTCACGGTGTAGAACGTGAAATGAAATCACCTCCGGCCCGTCGCCTCCAGACACCCCACACTCCCCACCCCTGGGACCCGACGCGTCTTCAGCAACAAGAGCCCAGGACTCACACGTCGTAGATCTTGATGTAGCCGTCGTCCGAGGCCGTGACGAGGAGCTGGGAGTCCGGGGAGAAGGTCAGGGAGCGGATGGGCATGGCGTGGCCTGGAACCGCAGACCGCGTGAGCCGGGATCACGTCCCCCCGCGGCCGCCCGACCCTGCCCTCGGACAAGGCCGAGCGCCCTTCCCTGGTGCCTGTCAGAGGGGCACAGACGGCAAACCGGCTAGAGCACAAAAACTTTTAAACAGGTTCACAAAGTTAAGATAAGGAGCAATATATATTATACAGTCTAATTTCAATGTCAGGTAACTATGAGCTAATTCTTGCATTAGAAAAAAAAGGTTTTCTGAGTAAATA